CCGGGCGGGCGGGCGGGCGGCCGGGCTGGGGTTTGCGGCTCGCCCGCCGGAGCTCGTGCAATCCTCCCAGCCGCCTCCAGGCGGAGGAGACGCTCTTTCCGGCCTTGGGTTTTTCTAGAAAAGTGGAGGCGGAGCCGAGCCTGGAAATAGGTCCGCGAACTCAGCGCCCATCCTCCTTCCGGGCGCTCGGGGACATATTGTCTCTGTTTAGGATATCTTGGCAGTGTGTGCGCTTAACCCCTGGCGGGCCGAGAGCCCGCAGCTTCTGGCTTCCGCTTGGTTAGAGGGACCATGGTTTTCGGTCCGGGCAGCGATTTTTTTTTGTTGTTGTTGTTGTTGGGTTAAAGTGTTTCAGGGAGGTGACAGATCGTTGCCGGAGTGTGTAGAAGGTAAGTTGGAGGTGGGCTTTTTGTAACGAAACTGTTTTGTTTCCTTAATGTAGATGGTCAGTAGAACAGAGGGTAACATCGATGACTCGCTCATTGGTGGAAATGCTTCCGCCGAAGGCCCAGAGGGCGAAGGTACCGAAAGCACAGTAGTCACCGGTGTGGACATTGTCATGAACCACCACTTACAAGAAACCAGCTTCACAAAAGAGGCCTACAAAAAGTACATCAAAGATTACATGAAATCGTAAGTGAGCTATAAGCACCCTGTTTTGGTGGTCAGGGTCCTAGAAGACTTATTTGTGTCTACTTGGTTCCTTAGTTATAAAGGACTCGGGAAGGGAGGACCTTTTGTTACACACTGATGGTTGCTTTTCATTAATAGCATACTGGAGCAAGCAGACCGGCTTTAACTTTGTAGAAAAAAAATTCCTTTTTAAAAGTCAATCTTGCTTGGATTTAAAGTTCTTGAATGTTTTCCTCTGTCACCTACTAGTGTATTGTAGCATTTTGCTCGTAGCCAGTAGACTTTTTGTTTTTAGGTTGGGGCGTGTATTTTTTTACTTAATGGAAAAAACTGATTTTGCTGAAAATTGAATACTTTAATGACCTGTTACAATTTACTGTTTCAGACTCAAAGGCAAACTTGAAGAGCAGAAACCAGAAAGAGTAAAGCCTTTTATGACTGGGGCTGCCGAGCAAATTAAGCACATCCTTGCTAATTTCAATAACTACCAGGTAAATAAGTCAAAGAATGATTCCGTCTTAACCATGGGAACAAAGGGGCTGCTTTGGTTTGTTACGTCTGTACATGAACTCCCTCTGTAAGCCAGGCTAGCTTTGAACCCCCTGAGGTCCACCCACCTCAGCCTCTTGAGATTAAAGGTGTGTGCCACCACACCAGACTAGGAGCTATAATTGAAACTGATGAACTTTTACTTTTCATTGAGACAGGGTTTCTCTGTAGACTAGGCAGGCCTTTGAACCCAGAGGGCCAAATGTCTGCCTGCTGAGTGCTGAGATTAAAGGTGTGTGCCAACACACTTGGCTAGCATCAGAGTTTTTACTTGCCAAAATGTTGGCTTGGAGCCAGGTGGTGGTGGTGGTGGTGGTGGTGGTGGTGCACTCGTGAAGCAGAGGCAGGTGGATGTACAGAGCGAGTCCCAGGACAGGCTCCAAAGCTATGCAGAGAAGCCCTGTTTGGGGCGGGGGTGGCTTAGAGCTGTTCGGAGTCTCCCTTTTGTTGTCGTTTACTTGGATTTGTGTCTGTGAGTATAACAGTTTGATTCTAGGTCTTTGTAACTTGTTTCTTCAGTTTTTTATTGGTGAAAACATGAATCCAGATGGCATGGTTGCTCTTCTGGACTACCGTGAAGATGGTGTGACTCCATTCATGATTTTCTTTAAGGATGGCTTAGAGATGGAAAAATGTGTAAGTATATGTTGAAATTATAGTGTAAAACCAGCAAGTTTTTCAGGTGTGATCTTTGCCATCTACAGATGGTAGGCATGGGTTTTACAGATGCCCTCGAGGTGGTGAGATCTAGGCTCCCTCTTGTGGGATCTAAAGTGAATAGTGCCTCATACATAAAAGCCTGGAGGTAGAGTGCTCAGAGAAACTGGTGAGGGCAGGAAGGCTCTCAAGGTCATCTGTAGGCAAGTAGAGTTGGACACTAGCCTGCAGTAAACGATTGTGTGAACTGGCAATAACTGCCCCTGCCCCACGGTGGGTTCAAGTCCATTTCATATTGACCCACAGGATTTCTCCTGAGTTGACTAAATTTAGTAAAATTGAATACAGAAGTGTTCATAAGAAACTGATTTTTGGAGGCTTTTGAGTTGGCTGGGTGGAAGGTGAGCTTAGAGTTATCCTGAAGAAATACAAAGTGGGTGAGCACTCTGGGACAGGCTGGGGTGACGGGTGGGGTCGGGTGTGTTCAGACAGTGTCTGCCGTTTGTGGAGGATGGGATCTGCAGATTGGCAGGTGCTGCCGGCTTGGTGAGGGTAGTCTGCATCCACTGATAGACCTAGAACAGTTTGTGGTTCTTCTGGTTTGCACTAGGATGCCAAAGAAAATGCTCCCTGCGCTTCCTGCCTGCCTTTGTGGCAGTCCAGATTGAATTGGGGAGTACATGGCTATGGTGGGACAGCTGTGCTTTTGAGCTGGGGGTAGCTCTTAATGCACTCTCATTGTTTTGCAGTAACAAATTGGATCTATCACCTGTCACCATAACCGACTGCTGCTTACCATCCATACAACACCAGGACTTAGGACAAATGGGACTGATATCATCTTGAGCTTTTATTTTGACCATGATTTATTTGGAGTGGAGACATTGTTTTTTTCTTTTTCTCTTTTTTTTTTTTTTTTAAAGAAAAAACATGTCATGTAGGTTGTCTAAAAATAAAGTGCATTTAAATTCACTTAAAGATGGTTCTTAGTTTAATGTGATTATGCCAACTCCGTCCTTTAGTGTTGGTGAGAAGAAACTAGAGCCTGGTAGTTAACAGAAAATAACTTCTGCAGTGGGAACTACTTACAAAGCAAGAATCTGAGTTGCATGCAGTGAAGGGAAAGACCTGGAGTGGACCCCTCACTTTCATCGCCTCCAGGAAGAACTTGCCAAAAGCACAAAGACCGACTAGGTTGAACTAAGTACTGTCTGCTTATTCAGAAGTAGAACCAAGTCTCCTGGGTGAAGGCCAGATTCCTTAAATTAGTACACACTTGGCCGCACAAGTCATAAGTGGGGAGGGGGGTTGGTTTTATTTCGTTTGGAGACAGGGTTTCACCATGTAGCCCTGGCTGTCCCGCCTCTAGACCTCTCCCTTCTGAGTGCTGGGACTAAAGGCGTGGGCCACCATATATGGAGGACAGTGGCTTAGGATGCCTGATGGGATAGGATGTGAGATGTGTTGATCCAGTTGGTTTGGATACTGCTTAATTACTTCCCACTCCAGAAGCCAAGTAACTACAAGGTAAACTGTTCGTAAGGAATGCCAACAGCCTTCTTGATAGGGTGAGGTTGGATGAAGAGAACAAAGCTGGGTGAAACGGATCTCAACAAACCTAGAACAACATACTGTCTGCTGTAAAGTAGGTTTGTCCATGGCTGATTGACAAGTTGTCAAAAAAATTTCAACAAAATTTGCATTTATGTGAAGTACTGGGAAACCCCTATCGAGTCCCTACCTGTTTATAATGTATCTTCAAAAGCTAAAACGGGTTTATGATTTGAAATCTGAGGTTTGTCCAGTAATCAAAATCCGAAAGTACACTAAATCTAAGGGGGTACTAACACCCCTTTGTGATGGATGGGAAGCCCAAATACTGGATATTATACATATTTTGATGAGGGAGGATGTGTCATTGTGATCTAGGAAGCCACTTAATTATCTTTGAAAATGTTTTAGGCCACTGTTACTGCTATCAAAACCAGTACATATACCTTAAGAAAACCTAAAACCTAGTTGTGCTAGCTCTAGAGAAAGTGAACACATCATAGCCCAGAGGCTCTGTAGGGTAGAACCAGAAGTCAGTAGTAAGCACAAAGTTGGGGTCCTTTTAAAAAGTACATTTTTAGAAATCGTGTGTGTGTGTGTGTGTGTGTGTGTGTGTGTGTGTGTGTGTGTGTGTGTGTGTGTGTGTGTGTGTGTGTGATGCAGATGCCTATGGAGTCCAGAAGATGCCCTGCAGCTGGATTTTGACATGAGGGCTGAGCCTTTTCTGTAACAGTTTCTGTTTTTCCTTCAGGGCTGAGGACCAGGCCTTGCGCTTGCTCGGCAAGCGCTCTACCATTGAGCTAAACCCTCAACCCGATGGTTGGTTTTTTAAGACAGTGTTTCCCTACCTCTGACTGGCCTGGAACTCGAGATCAGCCTGCCTCTGCCTCTCCAAGTGCTGGGATTAAAGGCGTGTGCCACCACTGCCTGGTGGTGAGACTTGTTTTGCTTTTCAGACAGCTTTTTACATCCCAGGCTGCTTTCAAATAGCTGAGGATAACCTTGCCTCTGCCGCCTACGATTGTAGTCATCGGCCTCTGTTGAGGAGATTGGGTCCTGGAAATGGGATGTAGGGCTTATGTAGTCAGCATGCACACCACCAACACCGGCTCCATCTTCAACCCCGGGGACTTATTGTGGCATTTTTGGGGACTCTGTAGAGATGGGCCTCAAACTCCTCAACCTTTTAGTGCTAGGACATAAGGCTTGCACTTCTATCCCAGGCTCCCAACTTCTTTTGAAGGCAACTTTCTCAGTCATTTTTCCTAACTGATTTTCTAGCTAGTGCTGGAGCCACTTAGAGAAGAAAAACTAGCACCCAAGCTTCCTGCACAGGTCAGGGGTGTGCACCACTTGACCTTTCTGACGTTGTTTGGTACAGAAAGGTTTCGGGTACCTGTGGGCCCTGGGGTACCTGTGGGCCCTGGGTTTTTGTTGCATGTGTGGAGAACGATGGGATGGAGAAAGGACTTAGAGTGTTAGCTGTGGAAGCCAGGGCCGGGTTGCCATTTGAACATGGATGTGAAGGAGTGGCCATGTGGATGTCTGAGAGCAGACCATTCAAGCCGCCTTCATCATCTAAAATGTCTTTATTAGCCCGCTGGTGACTACGCTGGGTGTTCAGGATCCCAGTGTGGCCCCCGAGCCTTTCTCGGGGTGAGCTTTTACACACAAAAACAATGTGCCGGGTTGACAAACTTCATTTAACAACAACAGTTGGCTAGAAACAGAACTACGGAGACTAAAAAGCAAGGTTAGAGACTTTCCCAGAACTAAGGACTTTGCTGGATTAGGTCTTTGTTTTAGTTTGACAGGTGGTGCCATCTTACATGCTGTGTTTTATAACCTGAATGGTACTTTCATCATGGAGTCAGTTGTGCTAAGGTCTGGGGACCTACTAGATCTGGTGCCTTTACATTCCCCACTGGTCTTAGTGAATGAGTCAAATCATGGTATAGTTTGTCCTAAGGGCCATATATATATATACATATATGATTTATTGGGGTGATTTACAAGCTGCAGTCCACCTAATCCAACAAGCTGTGAACAGAAAGTTCAAGAATCTAGTAGTTACTCAAGTAATCAAGGCTGAATGTCTCAGCTGGTTTCTGTATGTGCTGGAATCACAAAGAAGTAGGTTCCAATGCCAGTGAAGGAATGGACTTGCTAGCAAGGTGAGGGCAAGCAGGTAAAGAGCAGAAGCTTCCTTCTTCCATGTCCTTATACAGGCTGCCAGAAGAAGATGTGGTCTAGGTTAGAGTTGTGTCTTCCCCCTGTCAGGGTCTAGACTAGAAGTGGATTCACCCACTTCAAACCAAGCAAAACTAACCTCTCACCGGTGTGCCCTCTGTTTCTGGATGGTAGTTCATTCCGGATGCAGTCAAGTTGACAACCAGGAACAGCCATCACACACAGCAATAGGATCCCTAAATAAGACACTGAGTGCTGGAGGAACGTGCAGGCTTTCCAGTCCCACTTTCCCCAACTGCTAGGTACTAATCCAGTTTTCAGTGTCCTTGTCTCCTCCGGGGTGGCCCTCTTGAGTTGGTGAATTCTCTTCAGGCCTGCTTACATGCAGGGCAGTACTCAGGAAAGATATTTTCTTTTTAAACTTTTCAGTACTTGGACACTTTTCCAAGTGGAAAATACATGGGATGCTTCCTTCACTATTTTGAGCCACACTCTGATGGATTGCAGTGGATGACGCCCAGTGACGCATGCTTTCCACCATTTTAGAGACAGCAGCGTCTTTATCCATGGGGTTGGGGTGCTGTCCATAGAAGCCAGTCGCCTAGTGTTTTGAAGGTGTGAGCCCAGTGGAACACCCTGGAGAGAAATGTGTTACCTCAAACTCCAAAGAGTCCCGGAGTTAGAAATTGAGGTGCCCTGGGGTGCATTCCTGCCAACTCCTCAGTTCCACCCTCCTTGTACATGATTATCTATAGGTGACATCTTCCCTAGGGCTTCACAGGAATTCTTTTTTTCTTTTTTTCCTAGACAGGGTTTCTCTGTGTAGCTCTGGCAGTCCTGGAACTCTCTGTAGACCAGGCTGGCCTCGAACTCAGGGTTCCTTCTACCTCTGCCTCCCAAGAGATGAGATCAAAAGTGTGGGCCACCACTGCCCTTAAGGGCAGTAAGGAATTCCTTCCCCCCCCCCCACCCCCAGACAGTGTTTCTCTGTGTAACAGTCCTGGCTGAACTGGAACTCGCTCTGTAGACCAGGCTGGCCTCAAACTCACAGAGATCCACCTGCCTCTGCCTCTGCCTCCCGAATTTGCTGGCATTAAAGGTGTGCGCCACCATCACAAGTTTAGGCAAGTCAACTAGATTTGTGCTGTTGGAGCGAATTCAGAACTAGAGAGTTCAGAATACTAGGGCAAACTGAACTGGTAATGAGGATGATGGTAAAGGAGAGTAGCCACAACTCAGGCAACTTGGAGAGCTGAAACCATCATCCTTTGAGGACCTGTGTGAGCGCATGCAGTGAGAGGCCCTGGCTGGTGGGCAGAACACTCTCCATGAAACCTAACTAACCCAGGAGGATTTGAACCAACAAGGACACCACACGGCAGTGATTGGCAGCTTGCAGGTCACGTGTGTACAGGCCTGCATCTTCCTGGTGGGCCACAAGCTTTATCTGGAAGAGGAACGGCAGCATTGTAATTTATGTAATTCTATATCCTTAAGAAATTAGGATGTTGCACCCGGTGATGGTGCACACCCTTGATCCCAGCCCTCAGAAGGCAGAGGTAGGAGGATCTCCGAGTTCAAGGTCAGCCTGGGCTACAGAGCGAGTTCCAGGACAACCAGGGATAAACGGAGAAACCGTCTCAAAAAGCCAAAGGAAGGAGCTGGGCGATGGTTGCACATACACCCTTAACCCCAGAACTTGGGAGGCAGAGGCAGGCGGATCTTTGTGAGTTCAAGGCCAGCCTGGCCTACAAAGTGAGTCCCAGGACAGGTGCAAAAGCTACACAGAGAAACCCTGTCTTGAAAAACCAAAAAATTAAATAAGGGTATAATGCTTTTGAGGACCTTTAATTTATATTAATATATAAATTATATATAAATGTATAAATTCATATGTGTAGTATATATGTAATTTTTATTATCTCAAACAAAAATCCCTGAGAAGTACGCTCAAGAGGAAAAGGGTGCTGCACACCTTCCATTGACTGAGCTAGCTGCTGGGGCAGCCGTCTCCATTAGCAGGTCAGGTCATAATGTTGGCAGTTTATCCAGGGAATCCCTCCAACCCCACCCAGTGGTTACATCATAGCAGCAATGATAAGTGTCAACTTATCATGGGGGGGGGAGGGGCATGTTTTGAACTTCTAGAATATTCCATCTTGTTTATGTAGAGAGCCTGTAGATTGTGGATTTCTGCTGCTACACATGGTTTCAAACAATGGAGAATGACA